GACAATTGTCTGACACTTGTCATATACAGTGACCTGCTGCGCATCAATTCGTTGTATGCTCAACACTTTAACGCTCAAAGTATCTTAGTTATACAACTGTGTACGATATTCAGATGTACACAATAATAGGAATATCAGCACAAATAAAGATAAAGTAAAAAAAAAAATTATAAGGTTTCAGACGAGCCCAAGATATAGCAAAAAAAACCAAGTCATAATGCATCTAAAATCAAAACTTTAAACTTCGAAAATCGAATATCTACGACCACGTAAACAATTAAATCACGTAAAATCATCTGAAATGGACTCAGGGAGACTTATTATGATGAAACGTTACGCAAAAAGGAGGGTCACTTTATCGAATCTCTTTGTCGTTCCGTCCGTCATCACATATGAGCTTGAAGAGCCTAGACAGTATAAAAGTATGCAGTGCAAATCGTATTATAATATCAAATCCAACCCCCACCCCTGCGACCGCCATTTTGAACACGCATAAAACACATTTCCCTAGTTTACTCTACCCTATGGCATGGATCGGCCCTAAATTCTAGTATGTTATAGCTGATCTCAAGACATTTCCAACGGTACTCAAACGGTAGAGGCTAATACCTCTGAAGCGATGATATGGAAGGTCAAATTTTTCACCCACATAGATCTATATCTCCATTGTTTACCAACCACAACCATAAAATCTGGAAAGCGGAGCAGATGTCGCGGATTTTAAAGCAGATAGTGCCACGCGGATTTTATCATCACAATACATAAGAAAAATTACCGTTTGGATTGTAAAAACCCCAGCGGGGCCCCTATTATGCTAACTCACATCACCCGAGTGATGCGAAAAAGGAGCTTTATCGCTCATCACTCGATTCTACAAATTTTTCGGGCGCTCGCCGAGCGATCGGACGATGCCAAAGCTGTGACAAAATCATCACGCGCAGCTCACTGAGTGATCCAAGCGTTTGAACTTATTTAAAATGCATTTTCTTTAATAAAAGCACATGATTTCTTCAAAATATGTTCTGAAATGGATTGAGAAGACTCTATTCTAGATTATCCACAGTTTTCGAGGAAATTTTTTTGCGTATTTAATTCGCTATTTGTTATTTTAATATCAATTGATATTATGATTGAAGTATTACAACTATAATATTTGAACAGTTAGATCTCATTGAGCCTCTTTACGCCGCGCCGGATTTAAAATAAATGCAGCATTTATCTCAAGTCTAGTCCGACATGGACTAAAAAGTCGGCTCAAACTGCGCGGTTGCGCATGCGTGTGCGCTGTCGAATTCTCACACACATCCTCATTGAACGGCATTAGCAACTGCGCGTCAGGTTGCGACATGATTCGCTTTCAGTGTAATCCGGCCGAAGTGAGCCGAAGCGCTTGTGTCCCGTTATCAACGCCATGGACTAAAATAAAGCCGAATATTGGGAAATGCTACATTAATGATAAATCCAGCATTTAACTTGGCCCGGCGTAAAAAGGCTCAATGACATAGATTAGTGACTGCAATTAAAGATTAATAAATAGAGACAATTGCAAATAGAATTAATTTATATTTTTGACTATAAATATTGCGAATAAAATAAAATCCACATTCTGAGTGAATGCTCACTTACAGAGAGAATAGAGTAGCATTGCCATCTAAGGTTAATAAGAAATTAGTCCCTTTCCTGCGAAGGACTGCAAAAGCAGGTAAAATTACATTGATTTAAATGGGGTTATTTATGAAAATGAACATTTTGAAGTCGTGCAGCTAAATGAACAAGTAATGAGACTTGCCTCATTTCTGATATACATTTATCTTTCGATTAAATGTGACAAATGACTAAATCAATTATGATGTGAATTTCAAAGTTAAATTCTGCGTTTGAAAATTTATAAAGTGTTTGGCCAATTCTTATTCAAATTTCTGATTATGGGTTCTAGGCACAATCTGGCCGCAGTTGTGCGTAGATAAATATAGAAAAATATTAATTTATCCTCTTTTGAAATTTATTTAAGAACAAAATTTACATGAAATCTCATAGCACTCCTTGCTTATCACCCAAGCGATGAGTAAATGAGAGGCAGAACTACCTGCTTCCTGCTTGATCGATTGGCTCATTCTTCTCTTTCCCACTTCGCAACGAAAGGTGACGAAGAGAGCCGAAACCTCAAAATACCCTGTTTCCATCTGTGGGTATAGTTTGTGAACAAGTCCGAAAAAGTCACGGTTCATCACGAAAAAGCTACATTCACGTGAGTTAGCAGAATAGTGCGACTCGCATCACCCGATAGGAGCTTAAGTGATCTCTCTTTCGGGCGATCACTCACTTGATCGAGTGGTGAAATAGCAGAATAGGGCCCCAGCAGGGGAATGGAACTCATACGATGTGATCACTCAAAAATTAACCAATTCCATGGAAGATACCGGGGCATTGATCAATTTATAATTTTACCCTTTACATAGCTATAACTCGAATTCTAGCGCGAAATAGAACTCGTCTGTAACAATTAGTAGGTTCTAGTCGAACAACCCATTCCAAGTATTGCACAGTGTCTTAATTGGTGTCTAAATAATATTTTTAAATGAAATGGAGAATGGATTTATTTTTCGGCCAGTGGTGAAGTTTGATTTATACTCAGTAGAGTATGGATAATGAGGGCAGAGGCCATCAGTTGGAGTTCGTTGGAGTGCATTAAAAAGTAGTGACTGAAGAGAATGACAGAGTTCAACCCAATATTTCCTTGCTTGAAGAAGGAGGCAAACAGCCCCTGAAACGTCGAAACGGAATAAAAATTGATCGAACTAACGAAATTGGCCATTCCGTCTTCAAAATGAAATGGAGAATAAATATTAAGGAATGGTTCGAATTTTCCAGGAATTACGCATTTGTTCTTTTATACGATGTCTCTGAATCTCTATCAATTTAATCCTGAGAAAGGCAATGATTAACTATTTTCTAAACCTATGCAAGGATATGCATCAGTATATTACAATATATATTGTAAAAATCAATATTTACCGCATTTATTTTGACATTGATTTAATATGCAAGCCAACAAATTTAATATTATTAAGTGAATTTCCAATAAATTCAATAATATTTACCAAATATTATCTGATATTTTTGAGTCAATATATTTTAACACTTATTTTGTCGAATTCTCTGCTCTAAGTGAATAAATCTGCTTGTCATGCACCTGAAAATAAAATACGGTCTTCCTTTGCACAGGCCTAGGGGCAAAACTTGCAAGTCGCGACTCGGAATTTCAAGAACCATGATTTGCTATAATATGTGGGATGCATAATATGTTTAACTTTTCCTGTGAATCGCTCCGGCTGTGGAATAAAGGTATGAAATAGTTCCCTATGCACAATAAAACCCGTATATGGAAAATTTTTTTGATGAACAGGCCATAAAAAGCGTAACTTGCGACATTTTGTCAGAAAAGTTCGTTCATTCCTACAAAAGAACTCAATCAAGTTTACTTAAATAGTTATGAGGGGTTTAAATAGAGTTCATATGTGACATTTCGCATATTTTTGGCCAAAAAATATTAGCGGACATACTGAGTCGAATAACGACTATATAAAACGACATAAAAAAAAGTTATATTTTTTTATTAAACATTTGTTAAGTACCGTATATTTCTTTATACAAACCCTTACGAATTTACAATTTTTACATAAATGGGACGTACTAATTCAAAAACTCCAAGATTGGCGAGACTCGAGTTTGCAAAAATTTTTTTAACCACTACCTTGGCTATACTAATATAAATATGCTAAAGGGGAGATACTTTGAAGAAATTACGTAATGTTTCTCCGTGATAATTGACTAATCAACCGAGTAACGAAAATTTATTTTGCAACTTTAGCCCATATAGTATCAAAATATGTGTTTTAAGGTTAGAAATAGCATTACAAAAAAACTTTACAATTAGTCAAATGTTATTCAAATCACAAAAACAGTTACTGACATTTTTATTTTCGAAATCAGAAACCAGAAATCCGTGGTTGAGATAGACCAAAACTTATAAGTGAAAATTTATTAGATCTTAGGCCTTGAAGACAGCTATTATGTAATGGAATTTGGGGCGGATCTATCACCATATAAAGATAGAGTGTTCGACGTCTAGCCTAATTTTTGTTTGACACTAGAAATTCTTTAGTAGCCTCCATTGGTTAATTTTAATTTTAAGCCTCCGTACATTCACTATGTTGCACTTAGAAACTCGTGCACCGATATATGCGGAGACAATAGATATAACTATCATTTGGCGCAAACAGCACGAAAAATGCTTAAAAAGTGTATTTTAAAATGTATTTTTATTTCGTAATAAAAGGAAGAGGACTATTCAAAGCATTTGTCAACCGTCCAACGTAGCCACCTAACAAGATGGAAAATCTCAAAATCATCAGCACAAAGAATGTCGTTAAAATATGTATAAAGTCAAATTTTACAATGTACAATGAAATTCACTTTGAGGGGCATGAAAGGGTGTTCGACAAGATTGTATTTAGGTAACTGGTTGATAACTGATAGATAACTCGACACAGCTCAGTTCCTCACGAGAACAATGAAAATTTTCAGAAGTACTGGGGTCAAACAAATACGAACCAGTCCGAATAAATTGTTCCTCAATATAAGCTTAGAAGACTTGGGCGACTTAATGAGGTAGAAGACCGCGCTTCTTATTATTATATTATATTAAGACTAAATCATGCAGCTGTTTTCATAAGTTCTTTTTTAAAAATACTACAATATAATAATGATAAAATAAAACAGAAAACAACGCTTCTTAAACATGTGCTCATAGTTTTGAAACAATTAAAATACATTCAATGTTTCTAGCGAATGACACACAGTGTAAAGCTATATAACCTTTAGAATGACATCGCACCCTTGCATGTTTCGTCAAAATTTGTGTCGTGTCGGTATTGCAGGAGAAATCTAGCCCAACCGACTCAAAGACTGATTTTACTATTATTTATAATTGGGTTTACCTATATCGGTGGTTGGCGTCCTGTGAAACTTCTTGCTTAGGACCAGGTGTCACTATGGCCGCATGAGAGTTTAAAACGTGATGAGTCGGCGTATGAACGGCCGGGATTAAACTCGTAGGCGAGAATCTGAAGCTAAAGTCACTGAAAAACCATTTAATTTTTTCAATTTTCCCAAAAAATTAAGCAATGAGCATAAAACTAACCCAGATAGCGAGGTATTAATAGGTAGAGACGAGGGATAAGGTGTCCGGAAGCCCGATGCGGCTGAATATACTGACGGTGTGTGCCTGAAAGAGTGCCACCTACACAGTGAAGCTAATCACATGAGTCAATATGACATCATACTTACCACGAGGCAACCTGTGACATGTCTGGACTTAGCATAGGGTATGCGTACTGACTAGTCGGAAATGAGTAGATTGCTGGTCGTGTTAATCCTAGACGAAAAATCACAGATTTATTTAAAAACAGTGTCTCATACGTAAAAAACACATAAAGAAGATATATGCAAATTAAAAAATTTACGGAAAAAAATCTGTACTCGAACAGACATTTCCCCAATAAGTAATATTAATTATTTTTTCTATAACTAGGAATTACATCACAACTAATATCGGTAAACGCCTTGTTAAACGCATATAAAATATAACCTCGCAAATCAACTCCAGTCGATTCAGGTAATCTTAAAATGGCGAAATATTGCGAAAATGGGGGAGGGGAGGACTTTTTTGTGTATTTTTATCGTTCGGTCCGTCCGTCCGTCGTGACAAACGGGCTTGTGGGACCTAAACAGTAAAAGATATCGACATGCGGTTTGCGCCAAAGGTTAAAAGTATGCAGCGGTTACGAACATTTTTTGTCAAACCCAACCCCCCACTCCTCCGCCACCCATTTTGATCACGCCCAAAATGCACTTTCCTCATTTCTTCAGCCCCTATGGCATGAATAGAGTCCAAATTTTGGTATGTTATGGCCTCTAGACCTTTCCAATGAATCGCCACCTAGGTTATTCCGGACCCTAGATGTAAAAGTTCGAATTTCAAAAATTAAAATGGCCACTGATTCTTATTCACTGAATGGAATGACTTTAAGTTCGTTCGAAAGAATTCGAAAAATTCCATCACGCACTCAAACATCATAATTTGGAAAACCACAGCTAGAGATGTTAAAATTTCGAAGTCGAAAAACTCGAGAACGAGACAATGCAATTTCTTTAAATTGCAGTATGTTGTAGTTGAAGTCAAGAACTTTCTAACGAATCGTTATTTTTGGGGCCGATACTTTAGGAGCGGAGGTGGTCAAAGTTCATACGTTTACCGGTCCGCTCTTCATCTGTGCCGCCCGTGGCAGGGACGAACCATTTATGGTTCAAAGGCCTCTCTCCGAGCGCTTTAAGAGGTCACAGAATTGAGCTAGGCGTAGCCTGGCTCTATCTGTAATCGCGCAAAAAATCAAGTGTCGCAAAATTGACTAAAATGACATCAGGGAGGCTAATTATGACGAAATGTCATGAAAAATGTGGGTCATTTTTTTTGGTTTCCGTCCATCGGTCGGTCGGTCGGTCCCTCATAAATGGACTTGTAGCGCCTAAACGGTAAGAGTTATAGACATGCGGTTTTCACCAAAGGTCAAAAATCCTTCTGCTGGTTCAATTCGGTGATGTCAAATTAAACCCCCCACCCCTCCTTCCGCCATCTAGCATACAACCAAAAAACGTTTCATTCATTTGCTCAGCCTCTATGGCATGGATTTGGCTCAAATTTCAGTATGTTATAGCTGGCATCAAGACCTTTCAGACGAATTGCCATTTAAGGCCCTAGGCCCTTCCAGACCCTAGATATTAGGGTCCAAATTTTCAAAACTAAGAATATATATAACTTTAGTTCTAATCATCCGATTTGAATGGTTGAAAGCTCGTCAGATAGATCTCATAAAAAACCATAACCCATCCCAACATCATAAATTGGTAGGGCCACTGCTAGAGGCGCTAAAGTTAAAAAAACCATTTTCGAAATTTCGAAATCCAATACCTCGAAAACTTGAATGCCAATTTTTTTTTAATCTTAATATGTTGTAGCTGAGGTCGAAACCTTTCCAACGAACCCCTAATCATAAAGATTGAAAGCATATTTACCTGCCTCTATCTCTGTATTATTTTTAAGTCCAAAATTTTGTCCAAACTCAAAATATTTTGAATGAAATTTTTAGATAATGTGATAGTCCAGATTAAGACGTTTCTAAAATGTGCTCATTCTTTTTACCAATGCCATAGAACCTAAGAAATAACGGTTTAAACTTTGTCCAAGTGATTAGAGCGATGCTGTTCCGCTTTCATATTGCACGTTATGCGCCCTCTACTTATGCTGTTTTCTACTCTACTGAATTGCCTACTTTGTGACGATTGAAATCGAAGTCAGCATCGCGAACCAACCCAATCTACAATAACTTTAATCAAGTATATAACAAACTTTGAGGAACTTCATTTATGGTGGCTAAAGTAAATTTCCACAAATAATAAATAAATTAGATCCAATATAACTTTTGCTTAACTACAAATCGAGTCTGCCACATTTGGAGTGTGCAGCCTCGCCCAGCTCACCCATAAGGGAACCTACGCGTTCCCTTATCACGTCCTTTCTCCGTGCCAACGGTGCTGAATAATTTGTTGCGCGAACACGAGTTTGATTCACTAAATAGGACTGCCGCGAGAGTCTGGCGGAGATCTATTGGATCTGTGGGTCGCGCTATGATTAGCGACTGCGGCGAGCACTGTCTTGACCGCCTGCACTGTGTCTTATGGCCGGACCCAGAGATTCCGAAAGGTAGACTTGACCTTCTGGGCCCCTCGGTGCCTGGCACTATACCCCATCCGAAGCCAAACAGCCCTCGTGAATAGATCCTCCGCCTCCTTCATGCATGGTGTCATGAGCAGTCGGCACAGCATAACTCACGCCCCCCCCCCCCCCCATTTCCACCGAGGAACACGCAAACGCTAAGACACCGATGGCCGCAAGAAAGGCTGTGGCATGTACATGCTATGACATAAAGAAATCTAAATCTAATCTAAAATCTAATATTCATAGCGCGATTTACAGATCCATTTAATCTCTACAGAGTTAGAGGCCTAGAGCTAAATTGTAAATACAGATGGATAGCAATAAGACCAGCATTGTGAAGCGTTGTAGTTGAGTTGCCTGTGCCGTAATTTTTAAATACTAAAAGACCAAGCGTTGCTTTAAGCAGTCTCACACCAGAGCTTTGGGAGAAGTTGACTGCATATAGAAAAACACCCATTACATTCAGAGCTGTTCTTTTTTTGTATTTTGAATAAATGTCACCTTTTCACATATATTCTTCCACTTTTTAAATTACACACTGAAATCACGCTATTTCCGTTGAATGACATCCACGACCACCAGTTGGCCGTGAATAATTAATAAGTCGCACCCTCGAATGTGCGAATCTGCCTTGGGCCCTTCAAACCAGACAAAAAGTATTGTTTTGCGACCACCATACAGGTCAATTGGGTTGACGAGGGTGGAAAATAAATGAAACCATAAAAATATGTGTAGAACTCATTAGTTATGCTTTCCTCAATTAACCCTCCACCCTTAATTGTTCACGGTAATTTATTTGTATCTGAATTCAAGTGAGGGTTGTTTATTACTATTTTTGCAGTTTCATACAGAGCTGAATATAAGTAATTTTTATATTTTTACTGTAAGTTTCTACTGAAAGGGTTGAAGAATACAGAACTAACTTTCAAAATAATTTACTAAAGTACTAAAATATACTATCAACAGTAGATCAGTTTCTATCAACCCCTTGCAATGCAACAGCTAAAAATGCACCCTAGGGCTCTATCTTCTAACAAAAGAGCCGACGTAAAAGCCCACTTAGATCGCTAATACATCAGGGAGGGAACGACTATAGGGTGAGTCATATTTTTAGTTGAATAGATAAGTCATTTTCTAAATAAGGATTCTTGGTTCACATAACATTTTTTGTATGTAACAAATATACATGTTTCGCAAGACGTATGTTGCCTCCAAAAATTGGACTTTATTATTAATAAAAACCTCTGCCAGGTTTGAAAGGCTAAACACATAATCGATGCTTATTAACATACACATTAAGCAACCCTTAAGAATTATTATAAGTTACTTATTTCTAGACTATTTAAATGCAAAAAGGAACATAAAATAAATTTTTTAAGTTAAAAAAATCGTATTTGAGCTAACCTAAGCCCGCATTTTCTATCCGCCTGTTTAGCATTTATAAAAAGCAAATGTGTCTCGGCTTTCGAATCCATAATTTGTCGAATACGGAAATAACATTATGATTGAGAATTGGTGTGTCTGCGTTTGAGAATGTGGTTTGTATGCATGGCGTCTAGTATAAATTTCTAATCACCCCAACCGCTCGTTTGAACGATTTTTGTTTTTAATTTTTGAAATGGCTACTTCATGTCAGACCGAAATCGATTCAGATTAAGACACATTTGCCCTTTATAAACGCCACGGATCAGAATTAATCGGGGTTCAAACTAATCCGTGAATTCTCAATAAATTCCTGATTATTTATCTGCATTATAAACAGCATCTATGATCGCGTAAATTTGACTAAAATGGACTCAGGATAGCTAAATCCGGCTAAGTCCGGCCCGGTCGCGGGAAAAATAATTATAGCGCCAACAGGTTTAAATATCGACACGCAGTTTTCACTATAGACAAAAAGTCATTGAAATACCAGTGTGATATCAGGTTCAAACTTCCACCTCGTCTACCATTTTAAACCATGTCCAAACATATTTTCTTGATTTGCTCAGTTCCCATCACATTGATTTGGCTTATAATAGAATATGATATAGAAAATTATTGAGAGGTTCCTAAAAACCTCTACTTTCGGCCCTTTCGTATCTTGGATTTAAAGAACTAAATATTAATATAGAAATAATCATTTCTCTGGTTCTAATAATTAAACTGAAACGGTTTTTATATTTTTTGAAGAGGTCTCCAAAATTACCATCCCGCAAATATAATAATTTTGTACAATACTCAACATGGCAATTGTTCTAACTGTAATAGAATACAATTCTTTTGTTCTTTTCGGCTCGAAAATCTTTAATTCCAAAAGGAACTCTCGGTTATAAAGAGAAATCAATAAGAAAGTAATTTGCAGTCATATTTTCAATACTGTAAACACGTTTCAAAATATGGAAATATTCGAAACTATTATAGCAAGTTCAAACAGAAACAGAAACATAAATACTTCTTTGAATTTAGATGTCCACTTAAATCAACAGCGCAGATATTAGCTGGTATAGGTGTTAGCTTTGACCTTCCATATCTCCACTCCCAAAACATTAGGCCCCACAAGCAGGGTATCATTGAAAATGTTTTGGTTCCAGCGATATCATACTAAAATTGAGATTTGAGAATCATGGCATAGGGAAAAAGTAAGTGAGGGAAATGTTTTCTTATGGGTGTTCAAAATGTCAAACATAGGAGTGTAGGGTTGGTTTTAATAACACTATCATCTGCTGAACCACATGCTTTGAACTTTTGGTTTAAACCATATACTCATTTTTTTTACCCTTTAGGCGCTAGTAGCCCGTTTAAGCGCTCAACAAACTCATAGTCGTACACATGCACGCTCTTGCTTATACAGTCTTAAATTACCGCTGTAATCGCTAATCTCTATCTGATTAGTAACTTTATTAAAGGGAAATACCTAACCTGTAAGAGTGCATATATGCAGATAAATCTTAAATTTCAGGTTAACATGTCACGTAATAAAGGTGTGTAGTGATATGATCATGGATGACTATGACCACGACCAAGACCACGACTTTTACTCATAATCAATCTAGCACAATCGAACTCCGTGCCAATGGCCACATTAATGCGACCGGCTATGGACAAAACTACATCTTCATAACTCACTAGAAATAAAGTATTGAATTGAAACATATCAATCCATAAACATATAAACCCGTCAGAATCTTACGTAAAAATAATTTTCATATCAATTGCAACAACAAAGGTATCCAAAGGTAATTTGACTTATCAACGCAAAAACCAAAAAAAAAAATGAAATTGACTGTAAGTAATAAGTATTTCTGTTAATTTTTTAAAAATCTAGTTTTAAATACTGCATTGTTGAAGTTTATTTATTTTTCAAGTTTTTAAGTTAAACTTAAAGAGATTCGCTTGTTGAAACTATTTGAAGTGTAAACAGAATTTAGTTTATCTACAAATGTATTTGGAAATGAGACTTCATTGCGAGGAAAGGCTTTATGAGGAACCCTGTGACTTCCTGGCGAGCGACAAGTTTGACGGGAAACCCCGCTGAATCTCGAGTGAATGCGGTGACAATGCCCAAAGGGCTGCCATCAATCCCCTTTTCTAAACATAGGGTTGTAAGTATTGTGAGTGAAAAAGGGTCCGGTCATTATTTGACGATTTGCATGACAAATTAATGGTGGATTGAGCATATCACATGTAATATATCTAGGGCGCATCTTTAGATCTTTATCTCACCCTTTGTAGTTCACCCTTTTATATTTTGTAAGCCACACCATATCAATTATTAGAACAATTTTATGGATGTGCACGTAAAGTATATTTTCATGAATTATAATTTGCCTGAACATCATTATTATATATAGTGTATATTGGATATGAATAATTTCTATCCTATTTCATGTATTAAAATATCCTCTATTCTAGAGCTATCCTAACTTTTATGAATACACATCTATTATTTTAAAAAAAAAACCTCGTCATAAATAAATAGTTAAAATAACATAGGTTTATAAAAAAAATTATTTCGTGAAACATTTAAAAATTTTATTTATGTATTACTACTTTTAGTAAAATGAAAAAATATGGACCCAAAAAAGACCCTAAAACTTTATAAAATAAATTAGGAGTCTTTAAAACTTACACAAATAATATATATATATATATATATATATAGTACTTTTGTGCAAGATTTTCTACCCTCGAAGGTATCCAAAAATACGGAACAGACGCGGACTTTCCTCAGCACCGAAATTCAAACACATAACATTTCACTTATATACAAGCACATTTCATACACGTCTTCAGGAGATGCAGTCACCAACTCGATTAAACGAGGGAATTTGTCCCTGAAGGGGATGCAGTACCTCCGATTTCCTGAAGGGGGAAATAGCTGGAGTGTCTCAACTTTCGGACGAATAAACGCGGATTTCTAGGGAAAGGTTATTCCATTCAGCAAAAGCGGCTCAAAAAGGCTGCTCCCCCAGGGGACGCCCTGATTACATTTTTTCAAACACTGGAACTCCTGTTGAATTCTCTGAAGGTGGACTGAGGCTCACGAGACGCTTGCCGTATACATCTTTGCGAAATGGTGTAGTTATTAGACAAAAGTTATTGGATTTGTTGATTTTAAGTTTTCCCACCAACAACCGATAATAGCTCTAATGAAAAGTGCAGCCTTTAAAACCTCGCCCATTTTATTTATCCTCTTCACTTTCCGAAAAATTCCGAGCGATTGAATGACAAAATTTGGGTTTTTTGCTTAATTTTGCTCATGTCAAGAAGTCAAAATTCGAGTTATTTCTATTTATTTCGATTTTCTTATTATTGAAAATACGGGTTTTTCTTCATTATATTAAGTAATATCTTGTATTTCAGTGCTAACTCAGTCAGTCGTACACTCACGCTCGCGTTTACACTCCTGTAAACCACTCGGAGATCCGTAATCGCTCTAAGAGGAAATTCGCATAATTAGCGGTCAGTCGAGTATCATTTGGTGTAATGTTTTCATATCGTCTTCGAACATAGTAATGTCAAAATTTTTCATCTCATTCGCATAAGAGATAATTTTTTATTTCCTGATAAGGAGAACAGTGAAGTAAAAGAAATTATCATTCATTTTCTATATGATGAAAACCTACAACTTTTTAGGACTCACAAATAAAAAATATTTTGTAAACGATCGCTAAAACAAGAATGGTTATCATGTACATAAGGACAACTTAAAATGCTTTAAAATTTTATACCAAAATAAATTGTAAAAGAGGCTGAGTCTTAGTGAAATCAAGTAAAAATAAAACAACAAAGAAATTGTGATTGTGTGCGAAGGAAATGTCGTGTTTGAATGTCGAATGAGGCAAAATCATGGTACCATGAACACTGCATAAGCCAGACTGAAAACCACAAAGCAATTTGTGACAAAGCAAAGATTAACTATCTAAAATGCAGAGTAGATTTATTGATCTAAAATCAGAAGAAGTGAACTTGAAAATTTTTGGAATAGAATAACTAGAACATGATTCCAAGTAACAGGAAACGTAAAAGTAGTGATAATATGTCTAAAAGTTCCTGTGAGCACTGGGAGTTCAACAAAGTTTGACAAAAGCTTTCCAATGAGCCCGAGATCATAACATTTGAATTCAAAAAAATTAGAGATTTGATCATCATTTAAAAATAATAACAAATATTCGGACAAACGTAGCAAATACAGTTGCATTATTAAAAATTCATTTTAAAACACATATGTATATTTAAAAAATTCGAATAAAAATGTATTTATTCCACGCAATCTTTCAAATTGAGGTCTGTGTAGTACGTAATGCTTAAAATGGCAAACGTGACGTTTTAATTGTGATAACATAATCGTAATCATTTATACCAGAACCGTTAAATTTTCGTTAAAAATTGCATATCATCATATGCATATTATCATCTTGTAGCAATATATCTATATGCTACGAATTACTCACCTACTACACACACTTGAATCACACTTCTTTCAGTCCTATCTTTTCTGAGTTAACACAAAGAATCGCAGTTCGAACTAATATTAGAAATAGTAGTCTTTATATTAAAATTAAACTATAATCTTGTATAAATAAAAGAAATGAAAATACATATACTGTGAACGAATGGCTTACCTATTGCCTTAGGATCGAGCTGATATGGTGGAATGCCGCAATGAGCCGGCGGGGGCGTCGTTAGGTGGTCGCCGTTGTGACAGAAAAACGGCGGAAGTCCCATTTTGTTAGCCTGAAAAAGAGAACGAAAATGAGTGGCTTCAGTCACGTTGCCATGACGAACAGAGGGCGGTGTAAGCGCGTGCGCTTTGTTATGACCCACCCTCGAGTGACATATATCGATCAACTTGCATCTTCACAAACGTATGTAAGCAGACGCACTCACCCAGTGATTGTCGCTAATAAACGTTATTGGTAAAATAACGATCTTAAATATAACCCATCTTCTTACATCTTGAAATATTAAAGCACAATCTATTGAATAAATACGGCCATAAAAATAATCTTACCTTTAACTATATTAGAAAATGTTCATATCAATATAAATGAAGTGGTTAAAAGATTTTCTTGAATCTGTTGAGCATTTCCACTTCTGAAATCAATTTCGAAAACTTTCAACAATTTATATGAGCTAATTTTAATTCCTTTATTCGAAACGGATAAAACAGTAAAAAATTTAATGATGAAACATCTAGTATGACGACCTGACTTATTTCAATACCCTACAAATATTCTAAATTATTATATGCCTGATGCTGATGATACATGCAATAATGAAGTACTCATAGTCCTAGACCTTTGCTAAAACAGAATAAAGTCAGTTTTCTAATTTGAATATGCGTTTTATCGAAAAATAGATTTATATTGCTCATTTTATACGTTTTTTTTTATTGTTTGCTTCTCTATGCATCTTAAAAACGCATTAAAAGCTAGATGAGATTAGATTAGAAGAGGGGGTGGCGTAAGATAACTCTTATATACCACGGCATCCAGGCCAACTTACGGGCCCTTTATGCATCATCAGGAGCAATTCCCACTTAAGGGCCAAGACACAAAGCTAACCAGTCATTCAGATTTTTGGTTAATTTTCAGACGGTACAGCTTTGGTCTTGTGTATTTTTCATTGTTATTATATCGTCCCTCTCCCCCGTTATCCTTTGATTTTTCCCACTCAGAGGCAAGGGCTACTCAAGTCAGCCAGTCAAATTCACAGACTAGCAGAGCTTGACCTTGAGCGTGTTTGCCGACGATATCGCTATTTACAAGTGACACTAGTCTAGTATTGTGCCCATCTGTAAGTAGGGACAGATGCGAAATACACTTCCACAGAAGTTTCTACTTCAGTTGGAACATTTAACAGCAACTTATTTTGGGCTGAAATTTTATATAAATGCCATTGAAAGGCTTAATATTTTTCGCATCTGCTGTGTTCGATCATTTGCAAGTGATGAGGATCAAACACACGGCCGTGATGATACTCTACCGACTGCACAACGGCCGCCCATATCACTGTGCAACACTTTTCTGCCCTTTTTTTGAAGTGTGGATTTTCTGATTCCTTGAGTCATCAGCTTTTCAACGGTACCTCCCTTTTTTCCCTAGACATGGAGGAAATGCATCCCCTGAAGTGCTCTACACATAGGAAAAATAATCCAACATAAAAGTTTCTTCGTTTCGGAGATATTTAGAAAAAAGTGGTAAAGAAGTCGGCGAATTTTTTACCTAGTGGTTCACAAAAGATCATTTTTGACCAACAAGGAGTGATCTGAAACACTCACAATGTTTTACAAAGTAGTAGGTAGTTTCCATAGCTATCATTTGAGCCTAATTTGAGGAAAATCCGTGGAAAATTGGGCGAGATATGAGCACATAAGTGCGGCAAAGTGGGTGAAAATATGGGAAAATGGAAAATAGGCTCTAAAAGGAAAACTTGAGGGTCTAGGGAAAAAAGTGAGGTACCGTTGAAAAGCTGATGACTCAAGGAATCAGAAAATCCACACTTCAAAAAGGGTAGAAAAAAGTGTGATTTTTGTTGCCTAGTGTATTGGAAGCTAATTAATACTCGTTTCCAAATGATTCACAATTAAATTCGAGATATAAAATCCTGGTTTTAATGGTATTGGAGTGTGTCAGCTTGAGAGGCAAGTACATTTTGGGCTTCTAGAAGTTTGTCTCTAAATGCTGTTTTTTGTTGACTTGAGTCCGCAAAACCTTATAATTTCTAGGCGAGGGATCCCATTGTACGAGTCGATCGCAAATTAGCGATTCTCTGTGGGATTTTTTGAGCTCTTCGCAGCTAATTTTACATTCAAAACAAAACAATAAATCTGGACAAATGGCATCTGTCAAAGATATCTTGAGATAACCTGAGAGGAAGTCAGGGCGGTAAAGAAAGAGACCAGTGAGTACTAAATTGGATGTCGGGGACCACATAAGCAGAAAAAGCTGAGTGAGTACTGGATGGGTGTGATCCAAAACTAAATCTCCTGTTTATCTGATAACCAAGGATAGGCCAGCATTCATCTGATCGAAATGCGTTCGAATGGGCTGCTGGGAAGCGTTCTCAATCCGCTGTTCTAATCAATATACACGGCGGGCATATCAGCAAACCGACACGCCACGTTAGGTACTTATGCATGATACCGTTTTACTGTCATCACATGAGGGCCCGAAAATGGCTGCAAATATGCTATAGAGAGGATTAGATTTTATACAGATCTGACATCACAAACGAGGATTGAAAGCTAACGAAGCTAAATCTGTACATATCACATATAGTTTAAAGGGATGAGATTGCCCATCTCTCAAGTTTAAGTATTCAGAATTCGTTATCGACTGCGCCAAATTTTGAAAAAGGGTCTGCAATTGACTTAAAAGATAAGCAGGATGTATTGGCTGATATACAGGAAAAAGAAAGGCAATCTTCCATACCAGAGTTTTCGATTCTCAGCATACCTTCTTCACTGGTCGATTGTGTACAAGTATTCGTGTGCACATCGAATCGTGTTCAGCGTGCACTAAAGAGAGAATTTCCATTCAAAATTGGGTTTACTTTAAAAATTACAGAATCATTATGAAGGAAAGAAAACATTTAAAAATGCTAGTTTGCCACGTCGATATACAATATTTGAAATAATGTAAATTTTTCTTAAGTTAATGAATGCCTATCACTTTAGATAACCACTCTACATAGTTTTATGAGACCTCGTTGCTTAGTTAGCGTATAGAAAATCGTCCGTCATTTAAAATATTAAAATACCAGAGAAAAAACAGACATTCTTGCAGTATGTAATTTTTACCATACCATAGTCAGCTATTGAAGACTTTTTGATTAAAATTATAGTTTCAACTTAATTGATGCGATTTTTAACTTAAGTTTATTTTACAAACGAGCAATGAGTAAATCTGTTGTCATTCTTTTTTATATATGCTATATATGTATGCATAGATATGGTGTAATTATACAACAGGCGCTGCACCCTTCATTATGAATTGAACAGAATTACAGTCCGAAGAAAATGCGAACTCGAGCCATGTGAATGTCGAAAACATTTAAGCAAGTGAAAATGGTTTTTCCTTTGATCTCCAACATAGTTGAGTACCCTCACTTGTTCTTTTCTACCCCAGACAGGAATATTTTTCATTCGCTAAAAGAAAATCCACACCCCAATAGACTTTTTCCCACCCACTAGTGGTCTCTCTTATTCTATTCGGTCATTTCTCGCTCTCGCTCACACGGGAAAATTTATCACAAAATCCCAGCAACATATATTCTCACAAGTGGGCGGATGAAACACTCAACCCGAATATAACTTGGAGGGTGGAAATTTTACATATTTCCTATCTTGTGCAATTTAAAATTAACAATCATTTTCACATATGCATTTTCCCCTCTATTCAAATAAATGTACAAAATCGCTACTAAGAGCATGTAATGAGATCAACAAGTAAAGTTGTATCGATAGATTTTATGTGACAAGAGACACAATATTTGATTGCTCTGTATTTTGAGTTTAATATAAGTTAACACTCGAAATTTAGTTATAGAAATAGAACTTAAAATCTACATAAAATTTAAAAGAGCGATGCACGTTTATACCAAAATTAAAAAAAAAATCTATGTGACGCAAGATGAGTTTAAAACACATTCATATAAATTAATTTGTTACAATTTTTATATTATGCTTTTGTCTTTTTATGTCTATGGTCATATTAGTATTGGTACATAACCTTCAGGACAAAACATGGTTATTGTTCCTTCATACATCAGACGTGTCTCTGAATGAGTACCTCGGGGCTAAGACTTAGCGAGGTAGACCCACGCTCGCGCAGTGGTTGTTTCATACCGTTGGGACAGAAAAATTCAATAATCTATTATAGTGGGTGATGAGAGGCTTTGGAACAACATATGGCTTATTATTTTTCAATTCGAAGACAGGAGTGATCTCTACCCCAGACAAAAGACATGGCCTAAATTATCGACTTCTTTGTCTTTTTCAATGAAACAAGTGAGATTCATACGGGTTACCCTACCGTAGAACTTACTATCCAAATTTTAACTGGATTAACGTATAATATATGGGTATGATCAACCCCATACCACAGATATTTCGCAACACAACAGTCTGGCATTCAAGTAGACTTCCATAGAAAATTATAACATTATATTTATTGGAAATTACAGCATATACATTTATCACAGCCTCATTTGCGGCCATCGCCGTCTTAGCGTTGGTGACCAACCTCCAGGACAAAACGATGGAAAAGTCCCTTCATTGGTTGTATATTTCACGAATCCCGCGGTGGGAGGGGGCGGGGGAGACGTCGGACTGGCGGCTCAAAATGTTCGCTGGAAGGGGGCGGAAAATCTAGCCTCTGTGGCTGTTGGCTCCGCGCGGGGTTCAATGCAAGGCACCGGGGGGTCATACATATTTTCACCAAAAGATGTTACTCAACGCCCTTTTAGTAATAAAAAAATAAAAATCATTCCGATCGGTTCATTAGAAACGGAGGCCAATTAATTTTTGAAATTCGAACCCTTTTAGCTAGGGTCCGGGAGGTCCTAGGTTGTAAAGTGGCGGTTCGTTGGAAAGGTCCTGAGGTCAGCTATAACATACCAGAATTTGAGTCCGATTCATGCCAGATGGGGCTGAATAATTGAGGAAAGTGTATTTTGGGGGTGTTCAAAGTGGCGGACGGAGGGGTGGGGGGTTGGATTTTACAAAAAAAAAA